CTGGAAATTTAGAAGCATAGGTAATTTCACTAATTTGTAAGACCTTGTAACCTGAGTTAAGAATCTTTACTTCTGAATCCCATGTCAGAAATATTTTTAAAAATCAGAAAGAGGAAGAAAGCAAGGAGTTCATAATAAAGTCCTTGAAACCGATAAGAACTGAAGGGACAGGGAAATCTTCAAGGTCCTGGGATAAGGAAGAACACTGATAAGTGTAGCAACTTTACCTATTCAGGGTTTTTAGGTGATTCTGGGACATATGAATGAAAGAGAGAGACGGGGCAGTGATTGGAAAACATTAGAGATAGGCTGGGGTGTGAGCAGATAAATCTTGAGCTTTAGGAACATTGTTTAGGCCTTATCTGATTGTTTTTTTTTTATTGGTTGTTCAAAACATTACATAGCTCTTGACATATCATATTTATACTTTAGATTCAAGTGGGTTATGAACTCCCATTTTTACCCCGTATACAAATTGCAGAATCACATCGGTTACACATCCACATTTTTAGTGACTGTCTTGAGCAATGTGTTGAGAAGGATTCAGACACTGCAGGGAGGGGACCTGTAATCAGTTCAAAAGGTCAGCCAGAGGTTTGAACATAGTACCAGATATACAACCCAGTACCTCTTCCAAGGGCATTTAGTTGAACTGTCTAAGGAAATACCCAGAACTCAAATCTAAAAACAAATGTTTAGACTGCTGCATGGAACCAGGAAATCAGAATTATAAAATGTTTCACTCTATCAAATTTTGCAGGAATTGAAATGAGGCACGTTAAAAAAAACTCCTCAAGGTTATTGTTTATGGGTCTGAGTAGTGTTTGGGGGACAAATGGAGAAATACACTGAAAAGATTATGTTTAAAAAGTCACCTGTGAGATTTTGGTAGGGAAAAGAATTTGTGCTTAGAAACTAGATAAGTGCCAGGTTTATTACAGGAGACTGCTAATTAGCAATCAGCCATTGCCTAATCTTTATATGCATTTGTTAGTTCTAGTTGCCACTCAATCAGTTTAAGGATGCTACTTTATATATGAAATAACACAAAGTTTCCAAGCACCTCCCAGAGTGGTTTCCTACTTTCAGTAATTAAATATTTATTGAGCACTTAGTATAAGCCAGGTGTGCTAGACTGTATAAGGCTGCCAGAAATATAGCCACCATTCCTCCAAAACTTCAGTATAATAATGCTCCCATGACCCACAATCACAGAGGGGAAGGAGAGATGTATCCTGCATGAGGATTTAGGAATGACTACCCAGAAAAGGTGATAGTTGAGACAGGACTTGCAAGACTGGAAACAGAGCAATCAATTAGAAACCTTCTGTAGCAATCCAGAGGCAGAAGCATGAAGACCTGACACCTGCAAACCCATGTTTCTCAGTACAATGACAATGTGATACATGGTGTGTAACATCTGAACTCAAAAGGAGACTGTAGGGTAGAGTGGTAGAAAGTAGAGTTCTGGAGCCGATCAACCTAGATTTTAATATAAGTCTAGATGATTTGTTGTGTCTTCGTTTCTTCTTCTGCAATATGGAATACCAATAGGCTCTCTTTCCTAGGGTTACTGTCAGGATAAAATGAGTTAACCTATATTTAACTTGATATTCTTGGCATGTAGAACGCACTCAACAACTGTCAGCTCCTCCCCCTCCTCCTTTTCCTTCTTCCCTTCCCACCATCTCACAAAGTTTTGAGGCCATCCTTAACCAGTGTTTTAAAACATTGATTGCTGGGCCACGGAGGAGCATTATTTCCCTTAGTTTTTAGCTCAGGATTCCCTGCCTCCTGAAGCCCAATCTTTGTAAAGTGATAGCTCTCTTTTAGTCAGGCCTGAGACTCTTGAATTTTTACAGTTGTCTTCTGAACTATGTCTGTGCTGAAATCATTCCAACAACTTTCACAGTCAGCCCCCACTTTTCTTCTTTGAACCTTAATAGAGGTTGTAGCACATAGGAAGAGGACATCAAGCTCAGTTTTCTGAGGAGATCGTCTGGGAGCAACTGTTTAGATAATAGGCTGTGTGTCTCTCCATTTGGAATTCCTCTTGCATTTTGGTGTATAAAATCCGCTGGAAAAGATACTTTTTAACTAAATATTCCTCCAAGGAAATCAACCCCAGAATGCTTTCCTCATTTAAAAAAAAAAAAACTCATAAACTTAACATTTGAAAAACTCTATTTATTACTTTGTCCCCAAACTGGCTGCCTTCCTTTCCCAATTTCTGAATTTGGTAAAATTACTTTCCCAATTGTCTAACGTCAAAATCTTGAAACTAGGGTAGCAGTATTGGGAGATGGTGAAACCCTTAAAAGGCGGGGCCTAAGGGGAGATCTTTAGGTCAGTGGGCTATGATCTTGAAGGGAATTGTAGGAATTTGGCCTTTTCTCCCATGTCTCTCTCTCTCCCTCTTTCACTTTCTATCTACATATCCACAAAGCAAGTGGTTTAACTTCACCATGTGCTCCTGTCATGATATGCTGCCTGGCCATAGACTCAAACCAAGAAAGCCAAGCAACATGGGCTAGAATCTCCAAAACTGTGGGCCAAAATAAACTTTCCCTCTTTATAAGTTGATTATCTCTGGTATTTTGTTACAGTGATTAAAAGCTGACTAACACAATCCCTATATAAAGACTCTCACAAAAAAATATTATTGATTGCTCAAAATCCCTCAAAATGTTTTATATCATCAGGAAGAAATGACTGCAATAATTTATTTTTAGACCTTCCTTAGAAGGTGACTGCTTGGGAAGAAGATTAAGGCTGTCTTTAATCCTCCTCAGCTCCTTCCTTGTGTTCATTGATGCTTTTGCTTAATGTATTAATTATAAAGTCTCAGCAAGTATAATAAAGAGATCCCTACAATACAGTAGGTTAAATAAGATATTAATTTCTTCCCCTTCATATAATAGTCAGGTTGGTCTAATTTGGTTAGGCAACTCTGCCTCATGAGGACATTCAGGGATCTGTGTTTCTTCTCACTGCAGTTCTACCAGTCCCTAAGGTAAGGTATTTACCTTCCTAGTTGAAGCAGAATTGCTGTCGTGTCAAAGTTTCAGCTCAAGGTAAGAGGAAAGTAAAAAATCCAGAAAGTAGTTTAAGTTAAAAATGACCTGGAAATGGTATACGTCTCGCTGTGGAGACTGGAGAGCATATTGTCTAGCTTCTTGATCATGTGCACAGGAAGAAGGGTAAAATGGATCTTGGGACAATTAAACTTCTGACTTAACTATCTTTACTCTGGCCACTACGTATTTTAATTTATCATTCATGCATTCAGCTCTTCAGTCATCTATTTATTTGTTACTATATTTGTTTATTTGATCAGTATATGTTTCAACAACTACTTTGTCTTATTTGGACTCTTAAACAGTTCCTTATAAAAACTGAACACGTGATGGATGTCTTAAGACCTCTGAAGAATTGGGGGGAATTATTTTTGGAAGGGAAAGTACTTAACCTCTACCAGTGAGGTTATCTCTGTGGGAAGACTAACCTCGACAGCACATCAAAGGACCCTACTCTGTTGGTTTGGAAAGACTGTTTGGAATGAAGCTAGCTGATGGCGTGGACTGAAGTACAGTTATCCCTTCATATCCATGAGAGATTGCTTTTGCAACCTCATGTGAATACCAACATCCACGATGCTCAAGTCCCTTATGTAAAATGGAGTAGTATTTGCATATAATCTATGCATATCCTTCTATATGCTTTAAATCATCTCTAGAGTACTTATAATACCTAATCTAATGTAAATGCTATGTAAATAGCTGTTATGCTGCACTTTTTAGGGAATAATGGCAAGGAAAAAATATGTATGTATTCAGTGCAGACACAATTTCTTTTCAAATGTTTTCTACCCTTGTTTGGTTGAATCAGGAAATGTGGAACCCATAGATATGGAAAGATGACTCTACTTTGGATTCATCTTTCTCTTTTGAAATGTGAGTAATCAGTAAATAAAAAGGTAGGACAAATTCTTTAGCAGCAATATCACAGCTGCTGTTTCCATTTCATGTTCTAGTGTTCATTACCTGGTAAATTGCTATTTTAATTGCCTCCAGAATCTGTCATCTGTTACCCAGTCAATGGGAAGTCTGTCAATTCTTGCATGTGATTTAATATAAGGAATTTGTCAAGGCAAACACTCAGATGTTTCCATGTCAAACACAGGTCTTATTTCTATTTATTCTTTTATTGATTGATTGATGGATGGATGGATGGATGACTGGGGATTGAACCCAGGGCCTTGCACATGGTAGTCAACAACTCTACCACTGAGCTACATCACCAGCCCTTATTCTGTCCATTTGTCTGTTCAGTGGTAAAGTGCCCACATAGCCATATCCCCCACTTTTTAAAATATTTTATTTAGAGACAGGGTCTCGTAAGTTTCTTAGGGCCTCGCTAAATTGATGAGGCTGGTTTTAAACTTACAATCCTTCTCAGCTGTTGGGATTACAGGCCTGCACCACCACACCTGGATTATTCTATTCATTTTTGAAGAGAACTTCTTCATACATGAAGAATGAAAATTGTAAATTCTATTCTCTGGCTCCTCATCCCTAGTTAAATTGCCTTGATGATTTCTTTAGCCAATCTGTTAACCTCTTAGAATCTACATTTCTGCAATGAGAAACTACCGATAATTTATTTTTTGATGTTAGTAATCTACTTTGAACCCCCTTACTCTCTTTTTCTTTCCCTTTCTTCTATTCTTCTCTTGTTTCTTTGCCAAGATTTAGCATTGCTGATAAAACAGAGAAGTACTTTTGTTGTTTGTGGTATTTCTTTCAGAGTAACAATATGTGGTAGTAAGCACTTCTCTTTTAAGTGGTTGATTTTTTTTTCTGTCCAACTGAAAGTTTTCAGAGATCCTGATACAAGGTGTTATGACCAAAGTAGGAGACTGGCACAATGCTCTATGTCCAAAGACCCCTTGAACTAGTGAAGGTACTCTTATCCAAAAGCAACAAGGACAAGTTTAATAA